TTCAGCAAGTAAAGCCAAAACCTTGCCCACAGGCAGCAGCATGCTCCAGGTGAGTCCCATGCCTACTTTGCATGATCTACTCTGTAGATTAGGTAATGTTGCTTCCCTATGCCTGGCTCCCCTCTCCTGCTGCCAGCCCTTGGTTCTTGCTTTAGTCAGAGGCCAACATCACCCACAGCCAAGCAATCTAGCCTAGTTCGTGATGTCTATGTGAGCTGTATGGCTGTGGTGAGGTATTGGAACAGGCTGCCTAGGGAGGTGATGGGGTCACCATCCCTGGAGTTCTTTAAGAAAAAGATAGATGTAGCACTGAGTGACATGGTTAGTGAGCATGGTTTGATGGTTGGACTAGATGGTCTTTGTGATCTTTTCCAGCCATAATGATTCTGCATTTTCTGTTGTGAGGAGAGAATTCATCTTTTGTGACTTCATCTTCTGAAAAAAAATTGCAGAACAGAAATTCAAACTGCTTCATGTAGGTATCAGGTGTTTGCTGTGATGTGTTCACCAGAAAGAGACAGGTTTGCAAAGGCAGTTACAGCCCAGGAGACTCTGTGTAGACTGTGACATCTGATTTTACTCAGGTGTCCAAAACAGGAGATTTATTTCCAAGATACAAATGGCCTGTGGCTACATGAAGACATCTGCATATCCAGTCTTTATTCCCAGTGGGAGTTTCTCAACAGATCTGAAGGTCAGATTGTTTCATTTAGATATCTAAATGAGCACTTAGCACTTCTGAAGTTTTGGCCTTGGCCAAATGCACCATAGCCAAGAATGAAAGTGATATGAACTTGGAAAGAACAAACTACCAGGTTAACCTTTGGTTGCTGGAAGAATATGAAACATCTCAGATTTATTTCCCAAATCCAGCTCAGGTTTCATCTGTGTTGAACAGTTAGTTCATCATAGAAATAACTGGGAATTCCACGAATCCACTGACTTGTCTGGCAGCAGGGTCTTTGTGATGTATGCTTGATGGTTTGTAAAGACTAGAATCCATAAATGCACCCATACCCAGACAGATTTAAAAAATGATCCTAAAGAAATTGTTTCAGCATAGTGATTAAAATTTGCTTATCTTTCCATTTTACCCAAAAATTGATGCCTTCCATGTCACTGTTCCTCCTTCAGAGAAGGCATCCTCATACATGATGTGTGATGTTATCCTGTGTCCACCACAGCATTGCCCATCACATCTAGGTCCATCATGGGGACTCGAATAGGGCTGGCTGGTTGATGCCAACCTGCCTGTAGATGCTATCAAGTCATTTTGGAGAAAAGTATATGTCCTAACTCAGGCTTTGTTCACTGCTGCAGAATGTGACTCATTAACTGACCATTGGCCCTGCTATAGAAATGTGGTCTGTTTCTAAACAACCCCAAATTTATTGGGTTTGGACATCAAAGGATTTCTGTCATGTCTGTGGGTTTCTGGCAGGGGATGAAATGAGTGTTAATGCGAAATGACCATCAAGCCAAGCCCAAAATTTATTGAAGATTCTGGCAAACTTTTTTCTGGGTGAACGTGTAGTTTAGTAGGCTGGCTGCCATTAACTTCAAAGAAAATGTTATTAATTGGGGGCTACAACATTCAGAGACCGTCTTGAGAAGTGAGTGAGCTGTCCATTGGGCTGTGTAGAGACCAGCATCCTCAAATGGGGAGTGAAAGTTTGCACTGTGAAGGAAGGAAACCCTGGGGAGACTCCTTTGCACATCCTCCTCCAAATGTGATCAAAGAGTAAGAAAACAGCAACCCCATCTCAGTAACTGTCAACCTTAACCTTCTGAGCATCCTCTACCATCAGTTCAGCCCTGCAACCTTCAGTTTAGGCTGTGGTGGCACTGACAGTCCCAGGGTATCTGCTGTCCAGATTTTTAAACACATGGTGATTAAGTTACCTTGATGACTTTTGGAAAAGCAGCCCCTCACGATACAGTAAAATAGTCAGTGCCATAAAACTGTTAATCATAAGAAATCATAAGAAATACTTATTATATAAGGATACAAGTCAAAAGAGATTGGACTATATCTTGCGTTAACTGTACCACAAGTAAGATGTGCTGTCATGTACCATAAGAAAGGAGGGAACTGATCTAGCAGGCATCTGGTCTGGATGCATTTGCCATGTGTGAACTTGTAATCATATGCTAATGATATAATTTCACACTGTTTACAATCCCAGCAGCATGCTGGTTCTAATTATACTTTAATCAGAGAAAAGGCCTTACTGGCTTCAGTCTTTCTGTCGTTTGTGCCCAACCACCCCATGTCCAGATATGTAATGTTACACCTACCATCACTTCTGGTATTGGAGAACCACCCAAGCGTTGGTGAATTCATACTCACAAACTCTTGCAAGGGGAGGAGAGAATATAATTATTGCCACTTTCTGAGTGAAGAAATTAGTGATAAGGGTTTTCAATTTGTTTCTGAGAACGAAGGCAGAAAACTCTCAAACTTTTGAGCCAAAAGCCTACGTACATCTCCCACTGCTTACCTTGCCAAAGAAATGCTGCTTCTGACAGTGTTCTTGTTAGTTTGTATTCTTACCTCATTAGTCAAGGATTTCTTATTTTTTTGTAGTTCATCTTGCCTAATAAGCTCTCCCATAGGCATCTGATTTTATGCCTAGGAATAATTGTCTTGTCTCACAGTGACCATGTGTTTGCTAGAGCTTGCCCTCTGTCCATGCTGCAGTGAATATAATACAATTAAACTCAGTCCTGGCCTTGTAATCATAGCAGTGGAAGTGCAGCTGTAAGTCGGAAAGTGAAGCAAGAAAATGAGGAGAGGAAAAAGAAGAAACTGCTCACCCCTCAACAAAGTTTCAGTATTCTTCAGGGCTGGTGGTGTGGTTTGGAACAGGGTGCTGACATCTGTTTGTAATGGATAGAAAAGTGGCACTGAATCACTCCAACACCACCTTCCATAACAAAGTCAGTCCTGATTATCAGCATGGCTGTGACATTGAGAGTCTGGTCCTAAACTGTGAATTTTGCTCTATAACCTTTTCTCTTTCCCAGTGCCCTTTTCTTGTTCCCAGAACAAAAAGTGCTCAAGCACATCCTCACTGCCAAGCTTTCTTTGGAAAAGAGCCGTAACTCTGTATCTTCGTACTGAGAAATTGAGGACATAGAAGCATTTCTAAACCTACCAACTGTTGATATCAGGGTAGGAGCCCCAACATCCTCTCTCTGTGTCTTGGATGCCCGAAAGCATGGTGAATGCATAATATGACTATTTTAATGGTAAGTAATCCATCCAAAGCCCACTGGATCTGCAGAAATCTGAGTCTCCTCCTCTGGCTGCAATGGTAGCAGAGTGCTGAGAATCAGGCAGGATTGTGCCCATAGCTCAGTTCAAAATGATGTGCCAAATTAACAGGCATAATCAAGAATGACATTGTGTAAGAGGTAAGAAAGACTAATCAGATGCTAACTTAGCTGATGCTGGCATTATTGAAAGCCTGGGGACATAGTCCAAGGATAAAAGCATAATGTCTTATCTAACCAAGGAGTCATTTGTGCACCACTGGTTACAGCATGTACTTAAAAAAGGAAAGAAGGAAAAAAGTATCTATGGCACATGAAATTATTTTATGCCCCAGAAATGATAAGAAAGGAAAGGTAAGTGTTCCTGCACCCAATCTTTATAGGGGAAAAGCCTGTCTAGAGTTAACCCATTGCAAAGTCTACTGTAAGTCCCCAGGATGTAGACAAATCTTGACTGCCTACATGTGAAACGAAGACTGCGTAGACGAAATCATCTAAAACATTTAAAAACTCAGTTTTGGCATATTTCTTGCTATTTGGAGTTTGCTAGGATACACGGGGCCGCCCTGATCTGTGGTTCAGTGAGAGTTCAGGCCATCTGGCAATCTCTTTTTTTCTGGCAGCGCACTTCCCTGTTTCTCAAGACTTCTTTCCTCTAGATTCAACAGGATGTTGAACTGGATCTCACAGAACAGCTCATGGAAAGGGAGGGTTCTCTGACACACAACAACGTCACTGGAGAGGGAACTGTAAGGTCCGGGAAGGCATCTGGAGGATGAAACCAGGAGTAAACCAACCACTTCAAGGTACAATTCCGGGGGAAATTTGTGGCCGTGTTTTATTTCCAGTCTTTTGTTATGCATAATTTGGTAAGTTAAAAACTCAACAGCACAATCCCTGGGGAAAAGCTGGACTTGTACTTCCATAACACGGGCCTTTCCCAGGAAAGGAAAACATAAGTCAACATGAAATGAAGCACCACACATCTGTGAGGGAGTCTGCCTGGTTCTTTCCAGCCTTTTCCATTTCCATCATTTGCCATCACTTGAAATCTTCTGCCCCAGCAACTTGCAACTGCAGCTCAGTGGGAGTTCTGAGACATTGGGCTGCCTGGAGCCAGGAGGATGGAGAAACAGGAGTGGTGGGAGAAATTACCTCTCCTCTGTCTGTGGGGCAGGGTGAAAGCATGCATCTGGCTGTAATGATTCCTCATTTTCCCCTTCCAGTCGTACCTCGGGATGTGATCCATGTTCTCTTGGCAATGCCTCAAGCTCTGAACACTGATCTATCTTAACGGTCGTCAGCCAGTGGTGGCACTGACTCATGGCTTCAGCAGCTTCAAGTGACATCACTTGATCTTTTCTCAAGGGCTGGTAGCCAAGCAAGGTGACATTGCAGTGGCACAGGAAAAGCAGTGCATATGTGAACGCCTCTCTGCAGCTCTTTTCAAAATGTTTGCGCAGCAATGGCCATAAACTGGGCTGTATTGACCCAAAGATGCAATCCGGGTTGTTTGAGTCTAGGCCTTATCTGTACCATGTTATCAGGACTGAGAGCGCAGATGCACCCCGGGAAGGGAGGGGACTGTGCGAGCAAGAAGGAAAGGTTTCGTCCCTTCTCTGCTGGCACAGGGAGGGGACTGTGGGCAGAGCTGGGTAATGATTTGTCACGGAGAGGGCTGGGGTGTCTCTCTTTGCAGAGGAAAACTTGGCCGTGATTGACAGTAGGGCTGTTTTTGCCGCTTCCCTTGCAGTTGAGAAGTAATAATGAAGCTGTGTCAGTCCATCATGGACATGGATATGCCAGATTACGTCGACTCCTTGGACTCCTCTTATACCATGCTAGAATTTGAAAACCTTCGGGTTCTTCCAAATAACACTGGTGAGATTCCTATTCGCTTCTTCTGTAATAACCTCTACCACCTTTGTTAAAAAGCTGAAAGCCTAGGGCAGGCAGGTAGGAGGTGTGGGGCAAAGGGTGAAGAGGCAGTATTTAAGCAGCTGACCTTCCAACTTCAGTTGGATCGGCAGTAATATTTGGGCTGAAATGGGATGGTTTCACTTTCTGGTCCTTTTGGAGTTATTCACTTCCTCGGTGTGCGAAGCATCATGTCCTGAAGAGCCTACAAGATATTGCGAATGCCGGTGGAGCTCTTGATGGCATACCATGCATTTGACTCCCTACATGACTTATGCAAAAAGTTATTATCAATATTTCTGCCTTAAAATTTACGTTTAACTCCTATATATGACTTGGGTTCATATTTAACTGTCGGGAAAAAAAATACCACCTGTATGGCTATTCACACAATATACCATGTGTCCGATGTAACTTGTTCATAGATACTTAGATTGAGAAGCAATATCCAAAGGATCACTTGACTTATTTTTGGTATCTTGGTATCAAGATTGTCTCTAAGCTCTTAGGACACATAAAAAATGTGGTTGGGATTCATTAAGTTCTATATAGAAAGACTTTCACTTTGGTCACAGAATTAAAGCGTGTTGTGTGATATTTGGGATTTGCACAGTCAGAGGTGTTCTAGATTAAAGAAAACACTATTCTATGGCATTAACTGTTCACTGCCTCAGAAGCAGAGGGCATTTAAGTCGTAGAGCATAAAACCAATCATGTAACTGAGATTCTAATGTTGGTGATGCCTTTAGAGAGTTTTGGCGATATTTCATTTAAGTTGTTAAGAAGCTTAGTGAAATGGAGATGGGATTTTTATGGTCTCACATTTTCTCATTAGTTGACTCCTCATCAAAAAATAATCTACGTTTCTAAAGGGCTATTATCTACAACATAAAATGTTTGGAATTATTATAGTGGGACACGGAACATATCAGGAGAAAAATGAAGGCCAGAAGAATTCAGAATTTAAAATTAGCTTCAAGAAAAGTTCTGTCTGTCCTCGAGTAGGATCATTCTTTTTATTTTTATTGTTTATTTATTTATTTATGTTTGCCAGATACAGATCTTTTATTTCTTATTTTTGTGGAAAGGTTTTCAGACACCACTCTACTCTAAAAATGACATCCAACACTGATATTTACTTCACAACACTCTGCTGAAGAGCAAAATACTTTTTACTTTTTAGAGCAGTATAAATTTCCTCAAAATTCAGTATAATTTTGCAAATTAACTATCAAAACCTGCTAGGGGCTCTTTCTGTTTTTTTTTTTTCATTCAGTAGAACTGACAGGCTGAGTCTTTCTGAAGTTTATCTTGATCAGTGTTGGGTTATTTGTTTAGCTGTTAATGAGTAACTGGTTCTCTCAGGAACTAGCTGTTTTGAAATTAGCTTGTTTGTCTTGGGTAAGTGTCCTCTTCTACAGTTTGTGAAAATAACTTGAAAAAAGACCTCAGATGTCCATGCCTGGAAATATAGTGCTAACCAACCAAATCATCTCCTGTAGATAACTCAAAACTAAAGTTCACAGAGATTCAGAAATATTATGAAATATTTAAAATATTCTTGGAATCAAGAAATAATCTCCTTTTAGATAGTTTAAAAAATGTAATGGATTTATTTAAAGCCAAATCTACCTCACTGAGTGAAATTATTCTTTATTTCCTTCACTAAACTGAACTGCAGTTTTATTGTGTATATAAACTTGAACAGGATGGGGTGCCACAGGAACTTCAATGGTATCAGAACCGTTGCATACATTCTGAGTGATGTGAAAGTGGAAAATAGAATATTTTCAAATAAGGCAATTCATTCTTAAGAACAACTCTTTTCTTCTTTGGAAAGTTATTTCATCAAAACCTGGGGTTAATTGATGATGTGGAGTGATTTTGACTGCTAAGCTTTCTGATTCAGGAAGTTACAGTTCTGAGATGTGTCTAGATACATTTTGAATTTTCCACCCCTAGGTAGGTCTTGATTTGCCAAACAGAAGTTCAAAATAAGAGTAGAATCCATTACGGGAGTAGAGGGGAAGTTTAAAAAACTATCTGTTTTAAATAGAAAAGCAAAAGGAAGTCAATGAAAATCAATGTTAATCCTTTATTTCCTTTATAAAAATACATGTTGTAACTGCAGAAACTTTCCCATTTGGTACAAACTTATTTCCTTTACATTGGCTGGCGTTGCAAGCCATGTTCTCACTTGGTTTTTATGTGCTGCTAATACCCACTTCCTTATGCTCTTGTCAGAGTTGTCATCTTGCTTAAAATATGAAGCAGTATTAAAATACTGCACTAATTCTTTAGTCAAGTGTCAGTGAACGTTTTCTCCCACTGCAGTGCTCGTTTTCCTTTCTCAGCACTCAAACACAGCACTGAACCTTGAGAATTTGGCAAATGTTGGCAAAACCTTGTTCCCAACCCCACTGCACCCTGACCTGGCTCAAAGCATGAAAAAGCCATCTCAGAACATTTGCCCATTAGAAAGTGCAAATGATTTGCATCATAACCACAGGCCAAGACTGGCTTGGATTTCTGGTGCATGGAAGAGAAATCCAGGAAGCACTGCTTGGTGTGAAATATACATTCAGAAGAGAAAGAGATTACCTTAAAGAGATTGGCAACCAATAGCATAACTGAAAGGAAAAGCAGAAGAAAGGTCTGAGGGGTCAGGTATGCTGATCTTCAGCTCTGAATGGAAGCCAGATACCATTCCCTAGCAGCAAGAAACCATCCTCACTGTTATTTCTTATCATTGTAAATATTGTCATCTTCACTGCAGCTCTAGTTTGGTAACGGCTCACATATTGGTGCAATATATAACAAAAAGTTATGTGCATTCAAGTTTGCAAGTTTAATTGGCCCCAAAGCTGACAAAGACACTGGGATACCCTTATCATGGCTAGGTAGAAGCATAGAATTGTTTAGGTTGGGAAAGACCCTTAAATAATCGAATTCAGCAATCCAGTTGGGCTATGGTTCCTGTGCTGCATGTTGCTCATACATAAAATCATAGAGTCATTAAGGTTGGAAAGACCTAAGATCATCTAGTCCAACCATCAACCCATAGCTCACAAAAGGCATGCAGCTGAAACTTTAGGGATGATCCTAATGAGGAGTCTGGTCACAACCACAGGTCTTCAGCTCAGCTCAGGACCCAATCAGTGGCAAGATGAGTTATGGTCTTTGCTTGGAGAACATCCTCATCTTCACCTTGCCAGCAGAAATTTCAGAGGTACTATGCTGGCATGGATTAGTAGTTGTTCTGTTGTATCACAGCCATGAACATCTGTAACTGATCCATTTCTGAGCATCTCTCCCTTGGGTAGTCACAAGCTTGGTTCAGATGATTGAATACATTTGGACATGAATGCCAGGCAGCAACACCTCTGGAAAGGTACAATGTGTTCCATGATGTGTTGAGCAGGTCCTTGTCCCGTGTCAGTAAGGGCTCAAAGGAAGAACCTACAGTTTTCAGCTGATTTCACAGGCATGCAACAGTGATAGCATGGATCCTGGCTTTCCTCTGCCTTTCTTAGCAGTAATTAGTTCTGGAAAAAGCCAGACATTCCCCAAATGCTGAGTAGGTTTGAAAGCCCCAACAAAAGTTACTGGATGCACGCAATACTGTTTGTGTCCTTTCTGTTTTTCAGAGCTAATTTTCATTAAGAACTCATGATTAACTGGTAACAGGCTTTTGTAATTAAAATTAATCATTGCAAGTAACATACGCATGCCAGCTTGTGGCCTTTCTTTTATCTTTAAAAATTTCTACTCTTATCCAGCTTAGCTAAAGAGGACATGTGGGCACCTAATAGGGACTGAACTATTAGCTATATATCTGCCTGAACATACAGCCACCCATCAAAATTGTAGCCTATGTCCCTGTCTGTGGTTTCATAGGTATAGAGGAAGGCAGAATTTGGATCAATGGGCCCTCACCTATGCAGCTGGTGGCTATGCTTCCTATATTGCCTGGTTTAAGGCCAGAATAGAATAAGAATTTCTTACCTAACACAGTTCCTCACAGTCTTACTTCCATGCAGGGTACAAAACAACACTCTTTTCTGGTGAACAAATGCTTTTCCAGCATCATTTTGTAATCTTGACCCAACTGAAGAATGAAGAGTCTATTTAAGAACCAAATTGTATGACCTTGGCTTGATTCCTCTGAAGTCAGTAGAGAAAGCACGGGTGGAGCAGGGAGAAAATTGGCTTTCTTATCTTTATTTCTGTTGTGCAATTTTTTTTAATGGGATCCAGCACATTTGGTGTATTTGTTTTTGTTCATATATTCCTTCAAAAAATAACAGATGAAGCAACAAAAGCACAAATGTTTAGCAGTACAGCTACCTTTGAAAGAGTACTCCACTACAGCTCACTTAAAACCGAGTTATCAAATCAATATTAAATATAGAATCAATGTAAAAACATCTAAAAATCAATTTGAATTACCATTAAGCACTTCTCACATGGACTCTGTTTGCACTTAGCTACTGATGAATGGCAGAGCTGTAGCATGGCACATGGGTTATGGGAACAGGTAAATCACAGTTCCTGTCATTACAACCCAAGAATTATTTCAGTATTGTCATTTTTAATTCCTGTGCTGCTCCCAGCTCACTCCAACCTACTCAGTTGCTCACCTGTGTGTTAGAAGGTGAAATATAGATGAAAAGGTCTTTCTGAGGATGCAAAAAGAAACCTGACCTTGGCATTCATGAAGTCTTAGCTAAAAATGTCTTCATCTCAGCCTTTGCTAACAAAATTCCCATTAAAAAGAAAAAAAACAAACAAAAAAAACAAGCCTTATTGGCTTTTTGGGGGGGCTTTTTATTACGATTTTCATTGCATAGTAAATATTTTCCCTATAAATTTTTGATGAGTATTTACATACAAAAATAACATTCTCTTTCTGTGTATTTATATATAAGTTGTGTGAGGATGACCCAAAGGTATTTTTACACATTATGCATTAGAAAACATTCTCTAGACTGCCCACATCAAGTACCGATTCCTCCCCTTCAAGTAATTTTCTCATTTTTCTCATTGTTTGATACAACATCAGCTGAGCTGCTCTCCTTTCTGCCCAGTTCTCTTGTCCCAGAGCCTTCCCTGGGTCTCTGTAGCACGAGATCAGCTCCTCTGGAGCAAAGAACATTCTCCCAAAGGAGTGATAAATTCACAGAACCCTCCTGCAGTGAGTGCTCAGGTCAGGACAGACTCCACAAACATTCCTTCTCTCAGGAAGATGTAAACACTGTCATCTGCATCTTCTCATGTGTCTCTCCTTTTTTTTTTTTTCACCCAAGCTCTGCCTCGAATTAGGAGGATTCAGAGGGATTCAGAGGGCAGTGAGCCTGGTGGTTAAGGCCAAGGGAGAAGTTTAAAGGGGAACTTTCAGCAGTGTATACACACAGCCCAGGCAGAGTTATTCCTGCCCCAAATGAGTGGGTGCAAACAGTGAGCATTCATATGACATAATTCTAGGTGTCAGATTTAGAAGGTCAATCCTCCTGTGCTCCTCTGTAAGCAGTGGAACGTAATGGCCCTCTTCAGTGGGTAAAGCAGAGGAGGAACCACAGACATTTAGAAGAACCAAAGTGACTCATCTGAACTTCTGTCTCCCTCTCCCAGCTGCAGAGGTGACCCCAAGGTGTCTTTCTTTCACTTTTATTGTGTGCATGAAGTAGTTCATCTTTCCTGTTTCTTCTGTCTTTTCTCTGCTTTCCATTTAGTTGAGCTAACAATGTTTTTCTTCCAATGCTTTTTGTGGTGCAGGCTTTGGATCATGTTCTTCAGGTGTCTAATTGGGGAGACAGCATATATCTCACAGGTTTCTCTGCATCTGGTCTCCCCAGAGCCTTCTCTTCAACCTGGAGAAAGAAGGCTCCAGGAGGACCTGAGAGTGGCTTTTCAATATCTATAGGAGCTGTAAGAAAGAAGGAGACAAACTCTTTAGCAGGGCCTGTTGTGACCAGACAAGGGGAAATGGTTTCAGACTAAAAGAGGGGAGATTTAGGTAGGATACAGGGGAAAAGTTTTCTGCAGTACAGGTCTGGAAGCACTGGAAGAATTTGCCTGAAGATGTGGTGGGCACCCCATCCCTGGAGACACCCAAGGTCGGGCTGAATGGGGCTCTGGGCACCTGATGGAGCTGTAGGTGTCTCTGTTCATTGTAAGGAAGTCGGAGCAGATGGCCTTTAAAGATCTCTTCCAACTCATACAATTCCATGATTTGTCAAAAAAAGCAGCAGTAGTTGTTCATTCCTCATGAGTGCACTGGGTTATGAGTCTTGAAGTCTCCCTGCTCACTGAGGCTAAGGAAAATACCAGTATCCAGCAGCAAAGCCAAGTGAGCTAGTGCCAGCTGAGGCTGAGAACAGCATGGTTTCCATCTGGAGGTTTCACCAGCAACACATACAGTGTGTGCACACGCGGGTATGGGGCGGGCTCAGTGACATGATTTATCTGACAAAAAAACCAACCTGCTGTCTGTTGATTCTGGTTTCCATCACAGAGGAGGCTAACGGGCGCTGTTCAATGCCCGCAGAGACCATCACAGCTGAATCAGCCAACACCAACCTGCTCAACAATGGCATTGGTTCCCTTTGCTCCATCTGCGGGGACCGGGCGACAGGCAAACATTACGGGGCGTCCAGCTGTGATGGCTGCAAAGGCTTCTTCAGGAGGAGCGTCCGCAAGAACCACGTCTATTCCTGCAGGTACCTGCCCACTCTATGAGATTTAAATGCTGTTTGTTGATCCTGTAAGTAAGTGGGGTGGTGATCAAGTCACACAATGAGGCCCCCCCATCCCTTGTGCTGTGTTACCGTGTGTGAATGCTGACAGTAATGCTGCAGTTTAGCTTGTGGCCAGAAGATAGGGAGCTAAGGAGTAAGCTATGTCCTATCTCATCTTGGATGCTGGCACCTTTTATGACACTGAGCAATCTGTTTTCTGAGTTCATACCGTCATGGTGTGAATCAGGGGAGAAATAGGGTCATGAGGCTTGTGTAAGAGTACAGCCTCTAGATGTGGAGTGACACCACAAACTCATCACAGACCAGCAAGGGAAAGCGAAGGGTGAAAAAGGACCAAAGCTTCAGAGATATCTTCTCAAAGTCTTGTTTTTCCTGGTAACAGCATGAAAGCAAGAAGCATCCAGGAACCCGTCACTTCCAGAGTCACCACAGCTTCTCCATCTTTGTTTTCAGACACATGAAGTTATGCATGTTTACATATCACTGATAATTTTACAATTATTCTGAGAATGTAGCATGGACCAGTGATGATTCACAGCCACTTTGGCACACAGGTATACACTGGAGAGATTTTTTTTCCAGGAGGATGCCATAAATTATTAAGCAGCTATCTTGGTTGGCCTTGGAAAAAATGGTGTTTATTTTAGCACAGGAAGAAGAGAAAAAAATTCAAACCCACCCTCAATCTTTTAATCTGCAATTAAAACCTGGAAGTTTTCTTTTTGTTCCAGAGTTGTTCTTCCTTTTAAAGGAGTTCCATGTTTTTGTAATGCAAGTCGCTCTTTTTGTCAAAATGCTTCTGGGATATTTATCACTCCAGGTCACACCAGCCACAAAAGACACCCAATCTGATATCAGCCTCCACCTGCACAGTGCCCATCCCATGCACTGCGGGATCCTGTCAGGAGGATTGAATAGCTACTACTGATTTCTTTGAAATTTTGGCTCTTTCTCTCCTGGGAGCATAATTGTTGCCCCTCCCCAGGAATTGATGAATCACTGTGACATTTGGCAGCCTGGGGAGTTGCAGTGTGTAAGCCAAGCAAATGGTAAATGCTTGCCTGTCTGTGAATCCTTATTTGGTGAGCCATGCTGTATTTAGCCCAGCTCAAAGCTCTGTTGTTTATCGCAGACTTGAATTCCTTGGAAAGCCTTTGGGCTTTTGTACCTTTGGCTTTTTACCAGCCTGGGAATGTGCCTTAGCTTTTACAACCTAATGATGGCCCCGGAGCAATCCACATTGCCTCCTCCCTGCACGACAGATTCCTCTTCCATCCCTTCACCCATAGTTGCCTGGCCTACATGGGCCATCACTTGGATGTTTCTCCGTCTCCTGTTGAAATGAAGAGGAATGTGGAGGCCACTTACCTCAAAAGCAGACTATAGTCACAGTAGGGTTTATGGGCCATGGTGCATTTATTCTCTGCAAAGTAAGACAGTGTTAACAAGCTGGCCCAAACTGGACACCTGATAACCATCTGAAAGTGGGAATGAAGACCACCACTCTGCCAACCACCAGCCCAGCTTGTGTCACCATCACACTTCAACAGCCAAAACCATCACAGTCCTCGTGGAGTGGGTGGTCTGAAATTGCTGCATTCCCAGCTGGCAGTGGGAAGATGGGGAAGATTGGGCTAAGCCAGCACTGATTCCACCCATTCCCTGCAAGGCCTTTGGCTCCTCAGTGAGTCCTGGGATTGGGGCTGCTCATGGTGAGCAGGGCACAAGCCACATTGCTCCATCTTTCCCATCTCCTTCCAGGTTCAGCCGACAGTGTGTGATAGACAAAGACAAGAGGAACCAGTGCAGGTACTGCAGGCTGAAGAAATGCTTCAGAGCCGGCATGAAGAAAGAAGGTAGGTGTGAAGAGGCTGCTCAGAACCTCCTGCTGCTGTTTCTGGCCTTGCTCCATCTGTGGGAGGTGATGGAGGGAAGCAGCAGCTCTTGTCTGAGCTGATGCTGTGTTCCTCAGTGAGAGGGTTCTTGTTGCAGCTGAAAACCCCATTTTCCATCTCTTCAGATGGGAATTTCAGCTACAGCTTTGTGCCAATATCCACACATCCCGGGAGGCTTCTCTCTTTAGGTGATTCAATATTTGGAAAGGGATTGCCACCAAATTCACCCTTTACCTAAGGGGTGAAATCACAATTTCACGGAAACCAATGGGAAATTTTTCACTCATTTCTGGTAATTCGTAAGGTTTCACCAACGATGACAAGAATCTCTTTCCAAATCTCTGACCATCTGTTTTCCTGGAGAACAGGGTGTCTTGCAATTTGGGATAGGTCATGGTTGTAGCTAAAATGACTGCTGGTTTAGTTTAGGAGAAATGGAGTAAATACAAAGCTGGGAAAAAAAGTAGTCCTCATAGTAATATTAGCCAACCAAATCTGCTCTCGGTTCTAGATGAGGACTGAGCCAATCACCCATGCAACAAACTCCACAGTTTGGAAAGGCTGAAATCTGGTTATCAGCTCCATTCTTTCATCTGAAGCGTGATTTTTATTAGTTTTATGGTAAAAGTTATAAAACCTTGGCTCATTCCTTCATTATTGATTGCAGCTTGGTGCATGATGACTCATTCCAAGTTCCACATCGCCGCATTCCTTGAAACTTATTTTATGAGTGCATGGTCAGGTTGTGTGCTCACAAACTGCTCATGTGTTTGGTACAGAAGGTTTTAAAGCACCTTGAGCAACTGCTTTGTAGGAATTAGCCTAGCTGACCAGAGCTGTATCCAAAACACGTGTGCAGAACTCAGAAAGAAATTTTCTTGCACAATTGTGTGTACAAAAAGAACGTCGTTGTTTGCTTTAGGTTGGTTCTGGATTAATATTAAACAGTACTGCGAAGCAGAAGGGAAGAAGAGAAGCCGTGTCTTGGGATAGAGCATGATAAAAGTATTTATACAAACGTTTCAGTGGTATGCACCAATTTGTGCCAGATCCACGACATCCACACTCAGTGTGTCAAGTTGTCCCAGCGCTGGCACGCAGAGCTTTGACACTTGTTCTCTGGCACATCATTTTTCAACCAGCTCATGTAACAGCAATCAGACTTTTTCCAGGGTGTGGTAACAGCACTGTTTATTCACCGTAGATAGAAAAAAAAGATGGAAATGATCCTTTTCCCAGCCTGGGTGTGACAATACACCTGGGGTGTGGAGGTGGGGTTGTGTCACTTTGTCTGTTTCAGTGGCTGGCACCATGCTGACCTGCTGCTCTATGGTGTGGTGTGCAGCCCTGGAAAACTTGCTGTTCTCTACGTGTCCTTAGCCTGGCAGAACTAATGGATAAGCTGGAGCTTTGGATCCAGTGTGATTTTTCTTCTTTTCTGATCTTCCTGTGCTGTAAGACACGATGTGACACTTTTGGATCTTTTTCTCCTTGTTTCCATGCTGGAAACAACTCTATTGGATAAGAGAATGAGAGTGGCTATGCTAGCCAGGGTAAAATGGGAATTTCTGCCCAAAAGAGAAGCTGTATGATGCAAAAGCTTGACCTGTCTATAGGGGCAGGTGCATGGCTGTCTGAGCACTCTGAATTTGATTCTGCTTTTTGAAAATATGTCTCACACTTGAGCCCTGTACCTCTAGTGAGAAATTTTGGCAAAGGAACACCCAAAATATTCAGCCACTGCTTGTGCCATGAGAAGGGATCCGGGTCCCGTTGTCACCAGTGAAAGTAAAGAAGGGCCAACACATGAGTCTTGTAGAAAACAGTCCCCAGATTTCCTAGAAATTAGCTCATTTAGGAACACTCCTATCCCTATCGCATTTTTTCGTATCAATAACTCTCTTTGATAAGTGAACACTCATAGAAGTCGGGACAAGCTGTGAGGAAAAGGCTTGCTTGAATGCTCTCCAGATCTCGGATAGTTGCAGATCTGCTCCCTTTCTCTGGGTGTGTGGTGAAGGTCAGGGCGGTGCTGCAGGGCAGTCGATGTGCACTCTGACATCTCCATCCCCTCCGTCTTTTCTGGCTTTCTCTCTACTTCCCTCTCTTTGCACAGAAGAAGGTTCGATCTCTATTGTTTCACACAATACTACCAGACAGGTTTTTGACCAGCAAACCATCTACGAACAAGGAGTGCACCTGATATTAAACACCCCCCCAAAACTATTTTTAGCAGCTATTTGTCACCGTGCTCAACCTTGAAAAAATTAACAGGCTGTGATTTCTCCAAAGAGCCACCAGCTCACGTGGAGCTGAGCTAATAACCTTGGTGCCTTTTGAAATGTCCAGCACTGCACTGTCAGGATGCAGTTTGCTGGTGAAGAAAGAGGTTAATATTTAACCTCTCATCCCCTTTAAAGAAATTTATGAATGTACATGAGCTCCTCTGGTTTTATGCAGAAGTAAAAAGAATGATTACTACCACTGCACAATAAGAGGACCTGAAGCTGTTATTTGTTTATTCTCATTAAATCAGACAGGTTTATAGGATGGTTTTGTTAGCATTTCATACCTTTTGTTTGCACGTCTTTTCTGCCAACTTGTAGAATTCTGGGGCTGCAGCGCATTGCAAAGGGAGATAGAAAAGGTAAAGCATTGTGATGGCCATAAACCATCCCTCAGCATGTGAATGGATTAAATGTGCATGTTCCATTGGCTTTTATGTGCAAACAAAATATACCACCTCTACGAAATCAGAGAAAGTATGGGGGGAAAAAAAATGATTTGTGCATAGAAATTAATCCAGCAACAAGAAGGAGTGAACCTGTCAGCAGAGATGGGCACACTGTGAGCTCCAATGGGACACTCAGAGCTCCTCCTCCTGCTGTCTCCTTGTATGCTGCTCATTTATTAGCACAATTCCAACCCAATTGGCATTAAATAAGGATTGTTTTAGCAGAGTAATAATGGCATCTCTTATGTAGGCAGGTGGCAAAGGAGAGCTTTAACATCTGCAATTCCTATGGAAAATTACTACTTTGCTGCCGTTCGCTTCAAATCAATGCCTGTGCCCATATCCACTGGATTCTCCAGAGGTTCCTTGTCACGTGCTCTGTACCGATGTGGCAAGGCAGCAAGGACAAAATGTTTGGGAAACACGGGATTGTTGCAATCCCACAAACACACCGCTGTTTGCCCAAGAGCCGCAGCGAGCGCTCCGCACGCCAGCATCCTCTGTGTGATCATGGCAAAAGGGGTTGCTCCGAGTATGGAAACGTCAGATGGAGGAGATGTTTGTTTTCTCATCTGCTTCCCACAGGCTGGGACGTGTGGTGAATTCCTTGGAGGGAGATGCGGGCATCGTTTTGCCCTCCCTCCAAATTCCCTGGGGAGAAGTTGAGGTCAGAGACACGCTATCCCTGGCCAACAGCATCACAGGGACGTTTTCCCACTGATGTCTCCTTGAGTGGGGTTGCAGGGGTTCTTCTCATCCTTGGCACCCGTCTGCCTGCAGGGATGCTGAGCTATTTGGGGTCAGGGAGAGGAGCCATGTGCACTGTGGTTGGATATTAGGAAAAAAATACTCTATGCAGGAGAGATCAGGCATTGGCACAGACTACCCAGGGAGGTGGCAGAGTCACCATCCCTGGAGGTGTTCCAGAATCATGGACATGTAGCACTGAGGGCATGGTGGGATTTGGTTGTTGTTGGGTTGGGGATCTTGGTGGTTTTCTGCAACCTGAATGATTCTATAATTCTGTGGGTTGTGTGTGGTCCCTCAGCCATCAGCCTGATCCAGGTCTTTCCATTCATTGGCTTTGGAAATCAGAGCATGAATTGAGGACAGCATGTGAGAAAAAGGATGGGGAGTGAGGCTTGCTGGGCACATACTGGAAATAGTGGAGTTTTAGTCCTTTCTTACTGTCAGCAAAGCCAAGATCACATCCAAGCCAGAGCACCTTTTGCACAGCCATGCCTCACCACCGTGACCTACACCTTCCCTTTTACAAGCACAATAATTATGGCAATATAATTACCACATAGCAATAAATTATTTTTGTGGCAGGTAAAACATTAACTCCCTTTTGTATCTAATTCCACAGCATCTTGGGTACTTTCAGTAACAACGCCCAAATCACCTTGAGAAAGTCAGCCAGGGCATCCACTTACACTTGAGATTGAGCTTATCAGGGCATGAGGAAAGCACTGAAATATGTGCCATAAAAGCAGACTGGTGAAAAACAAGCTGGAGGCTCTTAAAGGAGTCTGTCATAGGGGAGCAGGAGAGGTTTGTGGGACCTATGTCATTGTGTTGATTGATTACTATGGGAAAATTATCTTGTCTTGGGAGTGGGTAAAAAGAGCCTTTTCATTCCAAAGAGAGCATCTGCTATGGAGCCAGATGTGAGAAGTAGGGCAGAGATTTGCTGGGAAAAGGTTGGCTTTCGGTTGGCTTCTTTCTGTTCAAAGCTGGATGCTGCCTGGTGTATAGAAAGAAAGCTGTGAAGGGTTAATCTGTTCTGAAGATTAGCTATAGCTTATGGATGTATTTCCACTGACCACTCATCTTTCTTTAAATCACCTTTTAACTGTCTCAGACTGAAGAGGCTCCACTGCTACATGTGTGTGCAGAGTACCTCTCCCAAATGGACTCCACCAAAGGTGGCTCTGAGCTGTAAAACCTAAAAATGGCTCTGGTGTTTCAGCCCTGGCAGCCCCGTGCCCAACCCACCCTGTTCAACTGCCAGCAAAGCCAGTTGATCCTGGAAAACAAGCAGCAGGCTTCTAGGCGTCATGGGAAATATTGATTTTGCTGCTGTTGCCTGTTTTCTGCCCTTTCACTTTGTTGGCCTCTCATCGGAGGCTGGTTAGGAACACAGATAAGAGGTTTGACACGAGCTGACAAAAGCCCATAAATCAGGCAGCTTTCCATCCCGTGTGGAAAATGGTGCCCACGGCTCCTCCACCAGTTTGGAGAAATCTGGAGAAATGCGTCCTGAGCAAAGAATCACAGAATCATTGAGGCTGGAAAAGACTTCCAAGATCCCCCAGCCAACCCCATCTCACTCCAGCATGCCATAAGCACATCTCTCAGTGCCACATCCCCACGGCTCTGGGACATTTCCACGGATGGTGATCCCATCACCTTCCTGGGCAGCCTGTGCAGGTGCGTCACCGCTCCATCAAGAGAAGAAATCTTTCCTAATATCCAACCTATAGGGAACCTGAGAAGGGAGCAATGGGGTGGGCAGGGCCGAGAAGATGGCTGTAATGGGGAGCAGTGTGTTGAATTGAAGTTTCTTTTCTTCTGAGCTTCTTTAATGAGGAGAATTCTGCTCCCCGGCTCTCTTTGCAGCGGTGCAGAATGAGCGCGACAGGATCAGCATCCGTAGGAGCAGCTATGAAGACAATGGCTCGCTGTCCATCAGTGTGCTCACCCAGGCCGAGGCAATGGCACAGCAGGTAGGAGAGCCAGGGGCAACCCCCAGACAAGACTTTGCAGCTTTTGAGGTGTGAGATGCAGGGCTGCAATTTTGAGGGATGCCCCAGGTCCCCTCTGCCCCTGCCCCAATTATTGCTGCACCCCAAAAGCTCTCCGAAGTTCAGGCAGAAGTTCAGCTCTCCCTGCACAATGTGTCCTGGCCAGAACGCAATGTTCCCATCATGGCCAATTACATCTTTTATTTGTTACTTCGTTTTTACCAGGGAGAAAAAATAAAGCTAACAAAATTGCTGTCTTAAACAGACACTGATTGCTTTCTGGTTTCACAGCGAGTTTCGTCCTTTAAATTGTTATGCAAATCGCCTCTAGCCACTGAGGCATATGGTCCAGATGTTGCAGATTACATGCAACAATGCATCCATTTCCCTTGCAAAAATCATTACATTTTAACTCTCTGCCCACCGCGCAGCTCTTTAGAGATCAAAGTGGTTGGGTTTCCTCCCAGACACCCACCTCGAGGGAGCGCATTTCATGCGTTTTGCTGGTTTGCTGCCAAGCTGAGCCCCAGTGCTGTAAAAACAGGGACACGGAACAGGCAGTGAAAGAAGAAGGGATGGGACGTGGTGCTGGGACCGAGCACCACCTCGTGGTGCTTTGCCTGGGGAACAAATGTGCAGCTATTGCTATGGTGGAAAGACGCGGCTAAGAGCGTGGGGATGGATACTTTGGGTGCTAGGATTGTGCTGATCTGTCTGTGGATTGTTTCTCTTTCAGTATTTGCCACTGAGCCCCGTGCACAGCGCTGATATAGCAATGAAGAAAGTGGCGACCATCAATGATGTGTGTGAGTCTATGAAGCAGCAGCTGCTGGTGCTGGTGGAGTGGGCCAAGTACATCCCTGCGTTCTGCGAGCTGCCACTGGATGACCAGGTGATGGGCAAATGCCTTTCCCTGCAGTGCTGCTGCCTTCCGTGCTAATTTTCAGCTGTACTTTTCAATGGGGAAATCTGGCATCAATATATTACTCTGCAGAGCAACAAACTGGCAGGAGATGAAGAATAATAAAGGACAAAGGCAGTGAGTTCAGTAGCCTAAAAGCCCAAAAATACAGAACTGGTCACTCCATTGCGCACAGGGATCCAGACAGTGAGCTTTTCCCTTTACTGAAACCTGGATAGATGAATATAAAAGCCATTGTTTCCTAAGAACTCAAGCCATCCCCCTTCTTTGTTCTTTGAGTTGAAGTTCTATTAAGACCTCTCTCTTCTTTGCTGTCTGCAGGTCGCCTTGCTCAGAGCCCATGCAGGGGAACACCTTCTCCTTGGGGTAGCCAAGCGATCCATACCCTACACCGACTTTCTATTATTAGGTAAAGTACTGAAAGCACTCCTGCTTTTATTATCTGCACACATAGAACCTGGATAGGTCACTGCACATCTGGCTCAGGATTAAGTGCTCAAGGAGGCCTCTGGAGAAGAGTAGAAAGGGAGAAGCAAATATACTGTGACTTTTCGTACAGTCATTAAGGTTGGAAAAAAACACTAAGATCATCTTTTACACCTGTGCCCTTATGATTTGAAACTGTGGTTGGGAAAAAGCTCAATGTTAAGCAGGACCTCAAACAGTTGTGTCATGGTTTTGCAACAGATTGTCAGGGCACAGTGAGGTATTTGGCTGTTGGTGCTGAAAATTGTAAATCAGAGCAGAGGATGGAACAAACTTTGAGTATGGTATTAATGCACTGATATGTGCAGAACTAAGGACCAAAGAGTCAAATCCAAACCTTGCTTTTCCATTGTGAATCTGGATGCAAAGATCTGTGCTGCAACTCTGCATAGCAGTAGGACTATCTGGCAGCCCAGGTCTGGGTAACTGATGGGTGAGACCATTTCTGCAGTGCATTTAACATTGAATTTCTCCCTTGTCTCCAGGGAATGACTTCATCATCCCAATGCACTGTCCAGAGCTAGAAATCGCTCGTGTGGCCACCAGGATCTTAGATGAGCTGGTGAAGCCCTTGAGGGACATCCAGATCGATGACAACGAGTACGCATGCCTTAAAGCCATCATCTTCTTTGATCCAGGTATGTGTCTTTCCTGCTTGCAGGAGCAAGCACAGGGCTTCAGGAGATGATGTGTTATAGGAGGATGTGGGAAATAGGGCAGTGAGTGGGGAAACACAGCTCCTCCTCCTGCTCTTGCATTCCTAAGAGCATCTCTGATAGCCAGGCTGAAAACCCCTTGGCAACAGCTCTGCATTTCACCCTATTCCTGAACACTTTGCTATTTAGCACATAGTAGCTCCAGCCAGATGTGCAAGTCTTGGCAGAACTCAGAGGAGTTTCACTGCTTCTGTAGGTGGCTTCAGGAAAGCCCATTAGTCTGAAATGAAAGAGATGCCTATTAAGGACATATATGCTCATACTGAATTATGCATTAGCTGAATTAGTCGACTGAGCAGCAGTTTGAAGCACCCATCAGAGTTCTGAGATGAGAATTAAAAACCACAGAGAGCTGTGGATTGTTCAGGGCACTGAGTACCCAGAAACATCAAGGATGTCTGTAAATGGATCTTGCTGGCAGTCAGCACCAGTGAGAGCAGAGCTGGGCAGGAGAAGAGAGCAGGGAAACATAAAGCAAAGAAAAACTTGCTTTGCATCATCCATATATTGTCATTCCACAAACATCCCACTCAGGTTCCCCCCAAACAAATGCCTACAGCATGCACACTGTCCCCTCAGTAGAACCTTCAGCTTTAGGTGTATTGCCCTGTAGCTTGAAGGAGTGGAGGAGGAACAATTCCAAGCAGAGAGCAACGCCCTTTTGTCTTTGGCATCTACTAGCATGGAAAATTAGAGTACCATCTTCTATCAATCATTTTTTTGCTGTGTTCTCTGATTTGAAATCAAGATACAGGAGATCTACAAACATCATGAACTTTGGTTTGCCAAAGTGCCTGCTGCAAACCTGTATAGGGATGGTGTTATCATGTTGTTAGACAAATTAGCTCCTCAGCTGATCGGTATCTCAATTAAGCTTTAGATCATTGCATCAATGAGGCAACGTGATTTCATCTGAAAGAAAAGAGTGCCAAGTTCTACGGAAGTAAAATTCATCTGTGCTAACAAGTAGTATCCGTGGAGTTGCATGTTGACATGTAATAATTTGCTAAATTCACTCTATTTTATCTCTTGGCATGATGATCCCTAGAATGCAGTGCTTGGCCATTCTTTGTAGACTGAAGGAAAGGGTCCAGTAGCCAAAAATTTCTGATTTAGGGTGTGAGGAAAATCAGGAGTGAAAAGCTGTAAATTGTGCACTTCAACATGCCTTGAACATTTACTTGATAAAGCAAAACTAGACCAGCAGTCCATGGAAAACGGAGGGGCCACAGCTCAAAGACATGAAATCCAGAGAAGAACCTGGTGCTAGATCTCATATATTTAAACAGTCAAGCTCTAAACCTGCATGGATTTAATAAGAAGAGTAGAGACTCAAAATGTATGGGTGAAAGTCTCAGCAGTTTGCAGGACAAACACCAATCAGTTTCGAAATCCATCTGAATTAAGCTCTATTTGCACCGAAATAGCCTATTCCATCTGAGAAATGAAGCAGTGACAGTGCATTGTACATCTGTCAGACAAACCTGCACACAGAGCTAATTGTCAGAGAATCATTTCTATCTCAGCCCTTTCCCTCCCTGGAGCATAGTTGTCAGCCTAACACTTCTTGGCTACAACGGTCATCAATTAACTTCATTTCTTCCACCCCTCCCTAGACTGCAAAGGCTTGAGTGAGCCAGGGAAGGTGAAGAACATGCGTTTTCAGGTCCAGGTCAACCTGGAGGACTACATCAATGACCGCCAATACGATTCCCGTGGACGTTTCAGCGATATTCTCCTGCTGCTGCCCCCACTGCAGAGCATCACCTGGCAGATGATCGAGCAGGTCCAGTTCATCAAGCTCTTTGGTGTGGCGAGGATCGACAGCTTGCTGCAGGAGATGCTGCTGGGAGGTAGGAGCACTGCTGAGAAAGGGGTTTTATTATGAAGCCATTTAAGGGGTTTCCTGCCTAGATTTTTGTCCTCTAGAGGATGTTGGTAAAGATAACATGGTCCTGGGAGGAGGGAAGTGAAGGATCAGGTTGAATTGTAGATTGAACATGGGACATTCTCACTCAAGTCCAATTCCCAAATGGTTCCCTTCTAGCTTATCTCTGAAAATGTAACCCCGGGGACAGTTTATAGGAGTGGGTATGTTCTGTGTGCTTCACAGCAGCCGGGAGCTTGACTTTTAGGCAGTCTACTAAATTGATGCAAGCTGCAGGGAGACAACATATTTTAGCTAGTAATATGCCAAATTATATGGGAAACCCTAATAAGAGCAGTAATTGTGAAACACACACACAGATGACAGTGTGGTTGATTATTAGCTGAAACCCCAACCATTTGGGAGCAAAAAAGCTGAAAGCACAGAGAGCAGGAGCAGGAAGGAAGCAAAGAGGAGCCAAGACATTAACCCCCACCCACAGAGGTCTCCCATATTCCCTGAAAAAAAAGAGCCTTGTGCCTGACCATCTGGCTTCTCAGTAATGATGTGAAGAATAATGCCTTTCTTTTCCTGATTACACCGCAGGAACCAGCATTGATGTCCAGTACCAGTCAGGACCTCCCAGTCTCAACCTGGACCCATTGCCAGGACATGTCCTCCCAAGCAACATGAGCTCTGTGATTCATGCTGTCCCAGACCGTATGTACCCACTTTTTTTTTTGCTTTTTGTGTCAGCATAATGAGGGGATTGGGAGGGGGAAAGGATTAAGAAGGCATAATTAGGTTTATTGATCTATTTAAGCATCACAATGAACCTGAGTCCACGCCACTTCTTGTCGACTTCCTTTACTATGAAGTCTGGAGACATCTTCCAAAAAAGAAGGCATGATTTTCAATTAATACCACTAGTTAATTAATACTAGATGGATTTTGAGATGCTACTGAACACAAGAGTTGAAAAAAAAAAGAGAAAAAGAAATGGAGAGTGGTGACTGTGTGTCTATGAAGGTAGACAGTGCTGGGTAACACCACGAAGACTCACACGCAGTTATCAGTGGCTAGAGTTGCCCTACATAAAGCATCTTGGTTGCTGTCAACCAGAACAAAATACAACATGAGCACATGTCCACCTTTAACCACTCTGGACACTGCTGCCAGGCAATGGCTCTTTGTTAAAGCATTTATCCACTGTAATAGCAAATGGACCGTGCTATTCACAGCTATTGTAATCATGCCTTACACAGTTTCCTTCTGCAACTTGTGATCATACACTTCTTACAGCATATTTTGCTATTTCTCAGCCATATAAATCTACACATCGTGTTTTCTAGCTTTCTCTTTTTTTTTTCCTTTTTCTTTCTTTTCTTTTTTAAGGCCATCTTGCACAAGAGAAATTAGAGAGATGCTGATGGAGAAACATTGTGTTCTGTAAATGAAGTCCAGCTGCCAGCAGGTTGAGCTATCTTCTAAGAGTGGAAGGATTAAAAAGCAATTAGGGGCAAGCATTTTCCAAGGGCAGAATAGTGGAAAGAGCTGATGTATGCCTATCAGTCCCTCTGGGCCTCACTGCAACCCAGGAAGGAAGGATGTGCCTGGACTTGGGATGGCTCCCACATGGCCCACTGCTCCCCCCAGCTTCTGCTCTTTAGTTCATAGGATGATCTGCTGATTTTATTTGGATGCTGCTTCACTGAACGACATCCAAGTCCATTTTAATTCTGTCTCTTTTCTCTCCCACAGCATCTCCTGAACCATCCCTTCCATCTCCTTCTACAAGCACAGGCAGCGAAGACTATAAACTAGGCTCTAGTGCAGGGCCAAGCGCCGTAGCACAGCTCTTACCTCAGACACTGATACCCAAGCAGGAGATTTTATAGGGAGAGGTAGAAGGAGAAGCTGGGAGCAATGTGGGAACCACGCAGAATGTGAACCAGGTCCTTTCTTTTTGCAGAGGCAAAGCACAGCAATCCCCTGCCTGCCACCGGACCTGGGGGTCACGCTCTTCCCTGTCAGTGAGTAAAGCAGAGGGCACCAAGCTGCAGCAGGAGCCACAGCACGGGTCATCCCACAGCTCATCCCACTGATCTCACCCTCATTTCACACGTGATTGGGGTTAATGCTCGTCTCGTAGGACCAAGACTGTAAGCTCTTCAGAGCAGGTCTTGATTGCGTTTGGTATCACTTAGCTCCCTGTGGTCAGAACCCTTTCGAAGCCTCTGGTTGCTATCATCATAAAAACAAACACCTGATGCAGCTCCTGTTAATTGGCAATGAGTACAGCCTGCATTATCAGTATGGAAAGGTCTATCCTCATTAAAAATGTAATTACACTCTTAATTTTCCCACTGCAAATTAAGCTTTAGGAAGAATATCTTCCTAACTCTTTCATCTTCATTACTCTTCCAGATGTGACTTGTTCCACATAGACCAGCTAACCTTTACTACTGCTCAGTTCTTAGTTGTGATCGGGAATGGCAAGGTCTCAACGTTTTGTCATTTTCCATACTTGACAATGTATCTGGAGTCCACCCACGAGTTATTTGCACCCTCTACTTTATTGGAATATCCATCTACTACCACTCAGACAGCAGAAAGGAGCTCTGCATCTGACTATGGTCTGGCAAAACCCACAATGAGCAGTAAGCTCAAGAAACCACCTCTAACCATGATACTACTTAAAACAATCCCAACAGATGACTATACAACCTCAAGCTGAAGCACAGTCACCGGTACTGTGTTTATTTGTATACATTGAACATCACTAGAAAGCAGACTCCTGGATTTCTATAGAGCTTATGTTCCTTCCTGTAAAGCCCAATGACCCTCACCAGTCAGCTCTTGATGCATTAAGATGGACTCCTAGTGAAATGCAAGGTGCAATGGGGAGTTCTTTGTTCTTGCATGGCACATTAAACCCACAAGCACCGATCCCTGCCATCACAATGCTGAGATGACAGTGCCCAGCAAAGGCTTTGTGAGGCTTGTGAAGCACTCTGAGATCCTCAGATGGAGCAAACTACAGAAATGCAATCTCACTGAAAAAGGAAGAGCAGCCAAACCTGCCCCCAGAGGGTGTTACTTTGTACTCAGGTTATTTCTCACTGCTTGGGGAGACATTTTAGAGTTACCGTTCTACAGTACAACAGAGGTCTGAAAACCACTGAAGACTGGGTTGATTCCACTCAGCATCTCAGTGTTTTATTTTTCTAATGCCTATGATGAATTTGACCTGATATTACATGCTGATAACTTCGATTTGACACAGCTATAGCTGGAGAACAAATTCCACTGCAAGCATTCCTGCTGTGTCCATTCTTGTGTAACATCGCTTCCAGTTCCTCCATCATGTAAATTACACTGCTTTTCTAGAAATTAAATATACATTTATACTCATTAATGGTAAGAAAATAAATCTAGTGGAAATAAATTCCATATGGTTCACAGTTCTTTAAATGACAGCTTGCCTTTCTTGTTTAATTGGAAGTTTTCAAGATTCTCTGTTGACTTCTGCAATGCAAATGACTTTGGGATTATATACCCATAACATAAGCAAAAGAACCATCTATGTCTGCAAAATACAGCATCCCCATGAGATCAATATAATTAACAATCTAAGTTACTACTTAACTGAAGAAAATAAAGTTGATCTGGCACAAGTAGGTAACAGATTCAGGTTCAGTGCATAGTCAGTCTGGTAAAGACTTCAGAAAACAATAATTTGTTATCTTATGACAGGCCTGCATTTAGGGCCAGAACAGAATCAGAGCAAAAGTCTTTCTGGCATCTCTACATCAAATGCCACCCCTAAATTAAAACCATGTTCTTGGAAAGAACATACTTACTTTGGAATAGTGTCAGCCATTGCTTGATATACCTATAGATTACAAACCTAAGGATGCAACACCATTACCCTGAAAAGACTTAAATATGCACATACACGTGCAAAACCAAATTATACATATGGGGCAGAAGTTAATCAACTTTAAGACTTCAATTAATTACTTTATTTCTTTCTTTACATTAAAAAATTACAACGTAACAAGGGTTTGAAAAGCCAAGTAAACCTGATTTCACACACGCACACACTTGCTAAGTCACAGAGTTCATCCGTTTGAAGTGATATTTTCTGATTCTCATCAGGATATTTTATTAAACAATATACACATTGAGAGCCTCATGACAAAGCCAGACACATTTTTTTTTTCCCAGCATTTAAGATGTGCAACTGAATATGCAAAGATTCTCGTGGAACTTCTGCCTTCCCCTTTACTTGTGTGAGATACAGCTTTGTTCAACTGGCTGCAATTTCAATGGCTGTGTCCACCCCTGTGTCCACTCTCCAGACTTACACACCATCTCCCCTAAATAAAGTGAACGTACTACACAGTATTGCACAGTTCTGTTTGCAGGGTCATTGGTAATAAAGGGACCCTTTGCTAAGTTCACTCACACAATAGTATAAAACCTGATGAATCGAGATGCCACAGACAGCTACAAAGAAATGGAGAAGCAGGTGACTGAAGAATGGAAGCATAACTCCTGTGGTAAGTAAACTTACTCACGTAAGATTCTTGAGCACACTGAACTGCTTGAAGTGGGACAGATCATCAGTGCAACTTGCAAGGAAAAGCAAGAACAGGACAATTTTAAGGCAAGTCCCAGAACAGGGAGCAAATTACTTTCTAGGCACGATTTCAAGCTCTGCATCAAGGCTCCTTTTTTATCCTTTATATTGTCAGTAACTTCTAGAAGAAAAAATAGTTTTAATTTTTCAAGAATCCACTTGCAGTTGAATTTCATTACTGGCAATTTTCATTTCATTACTCGCAGACTTACAAACGTTTCTGAGCACTACTGTTGTTTGTCAGGCCCACATAAAGCAGTTCTAGATCTATACTGTTCTCTTGAAAGCAATTTTGGATGGAAGATGTTAAAACTGAAATTAATCCCTTTTATTGCAGATTTTTCTACTTTGAAGACATGTTGTACTTGAGAAAGAGGCAAGCTGTGTCAGCACTAAAGGAACCTCCCTCATTCTTCTCATTTCTCTGCTCATGGGACCATTTTGCTCATGGGACCATGAATTAACAGTTTTCCCTCCATGAAAAGTCCAAACAATAAAAAAAAAAGCAGAACAAGACCTTACAAAGACAACTGTTCTCAGTAGATTGATGCCAATCTGCAGTATTTTTCATTTTAACAGTCACTGGCCCCAGTTATACCTGCTCAAAGGACAAGATACAAACTTCAGAACACCTACATACTTAAGTTCCTCTAGAATCAATGCACAAGAATTGAAGATGCATATTTGAGGGCAGAATTCTGCTCTCAGCTGTTAAAAGTGTCATTTACTGAAGACTCAGAACTTACCTAAATGCCACATGAGATTAATACTGCCAAACACAAGACATGCTTCTGTGAGCCTGGGAAGACATTTGGCAGGGGTGTAATAGTGCCTCTGACATGTTATGCTGTCGTGTGCACAAGTCCCTTGAATCACTTGCATATGAGGAATGTGTGTCTGAGGTGGGACACAAAAGTATAGCTCTGTTTAATAGGACAAGCTGAAATATAAATCAAAACTGAACAAACCACTATTCCCTGAAAACTGGATTTAGAAGGCTGGGTCTCATTTGAGATCACCTTTCACCAGAATGCTTCTCTTTATGATTGACAACTGCACTTAAGTATATAATTTTTATAAAAACACACTGGTAATTCCCCAAACATTTATCAAATAAAAAGGGTTTAACAAAAAAAATGCATAATTAATCTCAAAAAATAAATTACAGTAGCATGACAACATTTGGCTTCTTTAGTGTGACCACGTGCTTTTTTCTATGTTATCTTGCCGTTAAGACCATTACAGATCCAGTTTGTGTCTCTGAAAGTTAATGAGATGTCTGTGACGATAAACGTATAAAACTCTGCTTGCTACAAGCAAATGTCTGGTATCAGTTTCACCTGGTCACAGATTATATGTAGACAGCCTTTTCTGGCCCCAAATAAATATTATATAGTATTCTTGCAAGTTCCAGCATAACTAGACTCAAACAGAAAATTCAGGTCCTCCTTTCTTTGATCTCAGTAGGATTTGTCTGATCCTAAATCCTGCAAAAGGATTAATCCACAGGAGTGAAGGCTGACCCCCAAAAACAGATTTCATTCCTTCCCATCGCAGTCTCCGCTCCCACGTTGGCTTTTCACTCTTCAGTCTTTCAATCTCCTGTATGCAAACAGATGTGCAGTGACACACTGTCCAAAGTCTACGAGGAATTACCAAAACTGATGATTTCACATTCTTTTAATTTATAGAGAGCTGACTGGTGTCTTACTGATATTTATTTAGCACAAACGAAATGAGAAAAGCTGATTCAGGTAGACAGAGAAAGACTTAAAACATACAATATATACAAGACAGGCTGACCTATTTCTACCTTTTCTCCCAGCCCTCCAAACTGAAAGACAAAGATTGGCAGAAAAGCTGATGCTAAAGCTGAAAGATCTGCACACAATATACCTACATCAAATGTTCTTTACTCTTTTAATGGTATCAAGTAATAAGGCTCCCAAGAAGATGTTTGTATTGTAATTACTGAAGCTAGGCTTACTCTCCCAAATGCATTTTGTTTTCTTAATTTCCCCACTAATGAAGGCCAGATCTTTACTGCTTTGTTTTGTAACACACAAAGGTCTTTAATACAGGAGTGCTCTTTAAACAGCCCCAGATGAGAAAATTCTAAATAGCCACAATGTTCAAATTCCTTATGTTTTGAGTCAATTATCTGGCATCAAATATCCTCTCAAGGCCTGAAACTGCAAATCACAGGCCAAGGGGATCAAATGTCCAAACTATGGCTATATTTGAACAAAATATATCAAAGTAGAGAAGAAATGTGAAGAATTAAAACAGCTGAGGAAAGCAGTCATTTCTCCTGACATTTCAAGAGTTTCTGAAGGTTAAGAAGTCCAAACTGAAGTCAGAAGTTGTGCAACATGCATAATTGAAAACCTAATTAAAAAATTTATGTCAGAAAAGGAAACAATGCAAGAACATCTGCTAGAAAGCATAAATCAAAGTAGTTTCTCAATTTTATGAGTGAGACTAAAAATTGTGATTCATTTCAGATTTCAGGTTTTGTACAGAATGAGAGTTTTCCCTCATGGAAATCAAACTATGTCTAACCACATCTTTCTAGAAGAATTGTTACTGTATACAAAAGTAGCAATCTTTACCGTTTCATCATTGCATATGGAGTGGATTTGGGTGCCAAACATGACTGCAGTGAAAGTGAGAAACAGAAAACCTTCAAGGCACAAGAAGATCATCAGGATCACAGTTACAGGTGGAGAGAAGTCACTGCATTCTGTGAAAACAACATATTTAGTTATGAAAGAGAATACATCTACAGAGCATGTTCATAGTAAGTTATCTCCTCTTCAATAAACAGCAATAAAAGCTGTTTGATTCTTGAAACATGTCACAATTATAAGGAACTTAACAGGCGTGAGAACATCTTTAAGACCTCACAGAAAAAGGCTAAAATCTCATGTCACACAAGGGATTGAAGTAAGTGGAAGTGATGACTTTTCCTTAGTAACTTAGTGAAAGTTAAGTGTTTGCTTACCAGTCCACTGCCCTCGGACACAGGAGAAAAACTGAAACCCACACAGTATGAGCGCATGAGCTGAAATTAGGGCTATATACATCTGGAAATGAGAGAGAGTGCTTACTTTTCACTGCTGCCAGGTAGTAAACCAGACATTGTTTTCAGCCAGCCTTTACCACTCCACAGCAAATATACTTTCCTATTTCCAATTTTAGTTCAATGCAATGATGTACAAACAAATCCTAATTAAGTTTGAATCTAAAAACACGGGCAACGATGAATGTTTATAAAGATTAGCTCCATCACTCACACTACAATTTCAATATCAAATAATTACTATGTAAAACAGCAAAATTGAGATGACTTAAAATAACAGCACTTTACAAAACTGGTTAAAATGAATATGGACAGAAATACCTGCAGAATAACTTGGATAGGTGGAAAAAAGAACAACAACAAAATCACAAAGTAATTTTGCCCTTAAGCCATTACTCTCTATAAACACAATCAAAATAGTTACACTGAAGGTAGATTCGTTCTGAAATCATGCTGCTGTTGATTTTCCCTTACCGTAAACAAAACAAAAAATCTCTGATTCTTCTCCCCCACACAGTTATTCACCCAAGGGCAGTGGTGATCCATCTTTCGAATACATCGTTTGCAAATGCTAGGGGAAAGAAAACAAGACTTTAGTTGAGAAAGCAGAGCTTGTACTTTAAAAGAGAAATAGATGTTTTCAGTGGCCAGGAGATGCACCGAAATGGATTTTCTTGATGAACTTTTGAAATATTTGACTTTTTCATTTTTCAGTTCATTTTACATCTGGCCACCAAAGGGCCAACATAGCACCAAAGGGCTCAATTCTCTTATATCCATGCCCACCTGCAGACAAATACTAACTGCTGTATGGGAGAAACAGAACAGCTGAAAATGTGTTGAACTTCTTCCCTATAGCTTAAGATAGGCACAGACTCAGAGTGTTTCACATTTTCCTGCAAAACATTCAAAATGTTACGCATTTTCATTTCAGCAAATATAGAGCTCAATAAGCCTCACAAATTCAGGCACTATTATTCAAAGCACGTGCTTATTTATGCATAATATCTATGAATGCTTCAGCAACAAGGCACAAAATAAAGCCAGATTACTACTAGAGTGGAGAAAGTTGGAAAAAAAGCAGCGTTCCCATGCACAAAGTAATTTTTATATCACTGCATATGGATCACTACAAAACAGTTGAGGAAGAAGCAGAACACACTTCCATGCTGGTAACAGGAAGGGATCCCAGATCTCACACAGCCCCTCTGAAGTCCTCTTTGCTCTGGGCAACCATGACCCACCCCTACATTCCCACTGCTTCTTGTTTTATCCGTGACAACTCCTCTGATGAAAATCACTGGTCAAACAGTGCCATTCTCACACAAGAACACTACCATAAGGAAACACAGCTCAGAAGAAAACAGGTATGATTCATGACAAGATGTTCAGAAGGCTCTTCAAAAGATTCTCCTTGCAGAGCATGAGCCTTTTAGTTCAGCCTTCCATTAATTCTTGAGCCATGTGGGAAAGATGAGCTAATGCTCGTCACCATGACCATGCAAATCTTCTCATGGAATACAGAAAATACACTGCCACTCTAAGAAGACCATTAAGGTGAAGGACTGAGTAAAATTATACCCAGATTCAAATCAAGTCAACCACTTCAAAGGATGGGAAGTGGGCAGGAATCACTTTTGCTCATTCAGTATTTCTCACAAGCCTACTCAGCTCTCCCAAGACATCAGATGCCTGGAACCCCACCTTCATTTCTAATTTAACACCACGATTCAGCAAATGCTTCCAGCCATCAAACTGGCAGTGATGCTGAAAACAGTGGCACAGTTTTCCTCCCAACTCAGCCATTTCTATGCTGTTACCTCCCTGGTCCCAGCACTGACATTCATGCAGCAAGAGTTCGGGGAAATCGCTCCATTCGCTGCAATCTGGGTCATTTCACTGTACAGCTGCACGAACCCTGATGCCTGCATGAGAGGAAGGAGCAGCACGGCAGCAAGAAGCTGCAGACAAAGGAAAGTCCTGTGGAGAAGGACCTGGAGGTCTTGATAGATGAAAAACTTAATATGAGCCAGCAGTGTGCCCTTGCAGC